AATGTGAAGGCAAACAGTTTCCGTTATAAAATAGGGAGCCAGCAATTAAAATACACAGCTGGTTGAGTACAGAAGAGAAATATAAACACTCTTAGCTGATTATTATATGAATAATAAAACCTTTAAAAGCAAAAATACTCTGACAGGGATTAATAAAGTATTCTGATTCTGATTCTAAGAAAGTGAAGATGTTGTTGGGCTTTCCTCATGATGGTGGTTGTGTTCAGGTTCCAGGAGAGGTCAGCTGATACAGTATGTGCACACCCAGGAACTTCACACTGATGACCATCTCAACGGCAGGTCCGTTGATGTGCAGTGGGGTGTGGGCCATTGAGCTCTTCCTGAAGTTAACAACCATCTCTTTAGTCTTCTGAACATTTAGAGACAGGTTGTTATTCTGACACCAGTCCACCAGGTGTTGTACCTAAACTCCACGATGTAAGATATTTTGTGCATCTGTCAGTTTCCAGGAACAGTGATCAGACAGAGTTAATCTGAAACCAGCTATATATGTGCAAACAGCTCCTTCTGAATGGGACAAAAGCAGGTAGGAAATGCCTGTGTGTGTGTGTTTATATGTGTGTGTCACTTTGACAGCTGGGACAAACTGCTATCAGTCAGCACAGCGGACAGTGAAATACCTCCACCAGAACCTCCAGCCTCTCGTTTTGTTTTGAGATATTCAAAATCTGCTCATCCTCTCAGGAACCCGTGTTCGAACCTCTTTTTTTCTCTTCTCTTGAATTTCTTTATGGTTTTGTGTGAATTTATGATGGGGAATTAAAATGGTGAGGAAGAAAAAGTTGCTGGTGTTTGAGTAAGTACTACTCTTGGACGCCTTTTCTCTTTAAAATGTTTGCTCATTGTTGCCTATTTGGTCTGTAACCTCGATTTAGTTATTACAATATACTTCTGTCACATGACTTTATACATGTATGTTTCTGTATTTGTGGCAGCTCTCAGATGCTGATGCGGTTTTGATTTGGTGAATAATGTATGGACACTTATTTTCAACGTGTCTTGGGCACCATACATTAATAATGAGATGGATATAGCAGCTGCTCTCCCAGGCAGATATTGATTTCATGCCATCCAAGTGAAATTTTATTCAACATTAAACTCTGACCTTGGGAAATATTCACACTGTAATCATTATCGTCCAGGAAAGAAAAATAAGAGAGAGAGGGAATTAAAGACATGAAATGACAGGTGAAATATTTTTTTCCTGTGTGAAATAACCTGTGCTCAAACTATTTTCTGTCAGCTTCCCTTTTGTGCTGCTGCTATTGTGGCAGCACAGGTGAAACAAGAGCTCATGTGCGTATTGTCTGTGCGAGCTGGTGTGTATTGTGCGTGCGTGTATGTATGGGTGACCTTTACATTGTGTTTTATCTAGCATTTTCTTGCTCTGGGAATTTTGTTATTTTCCCTTTCGAATCTTATCAGACTAGGAAAGGAAAGTGGAATTTCTCCATCTATTGGTGTAAAAGCAGTTTTTATTTATCAGCTGAATTGAAAGGATTTTCTCTCTGTTCTTCCTCTCTTCTTAGAATTTGTGGAAGCATGATGTGGGATGGATAAACAACTACAAAACTCTAATGTAAGTTTGCTGGATAATGTGCGTTAGCCATGTGTGTTTTGGGGATTGAATGACAGCAGAGAGGGATACACATAGCAGCAGTTTTCCTTATCAGTAATAATTATATAATCTGTAATCATGTAGCAGCGATAAGATTTCTCAAATCTAGTGAGAAAGGCTTCACATTTTGCAAGTGTGTTACAGATTTCACATTTTCTAAAATGACAAATATTCTATCAACTAAATATTTCTGTTATTTTTGTTATTTAAATGTCCTTTTAAGCATGTATGTCTCTCTGTGGCTCTCTGTGTAGATGGCCTCTAATGAGCTGGACCTTCCTGCCCTCTCCGGTGACCCCCAGCCTGGTGACCTCATTGAGATTTTCAGACCAGCCTATCAGCATTGGGCTCTCTACCTGGGAGATGGTTACATCATCAACTTAACTCCTGTTGGTCAGTAAAAGAGTTTCTAACGTAAAATTTGCGGCTATCCTCACAAATCTGACATAAACCTGTCATTCTTTAGACTGAGGTTAAAAGGCTCACATTACAAACTACATCCTGATGCTTAATTAAATTAGAGAATAGTTCTCTCTTGGCTCTTGACGGAGGTGGTCGCATTCTTCTCCCTCTCCCTTATCTTTCCTGCTTGGCTTCTCATGTCTTTTGTATAGTCTTGCTTTCTAACCCTCAAAGAGTTTCTCAGTCTTGTTCTCTAAAACCGAAAGAATTATGGATTTGATCAACTGGTCCCGTAGCGGAATTGACACCTTCCTGGGCTTGGGAGAGCCCGATTGTCCTGCGGAGACATTTGCTGCCGGATACTCGATGGTCGGTTGCATCGTGTGTCTGGCGACACTCTCAATGGAGGACAATGAACGACATCTACCAATTCGGAACCACGATAACAGAGTTCTGGCTGATTGGAGCTGGCTCAGACCTGGCTTATCGAAGTACAAGAAGCGGCTACAGCTGTTCAAAATCCCACAAGGCTGGCTGACGTGATAGACGATGGGCAGGGCTGTGAGTACTCAGACTGTGTATTGAACTCAATATGGATACGATCTTGGAGAAGAACAACGGGAATTGAGAGAATTGGTGACCAGTGACGGACATTAGACCAATTGTAAAATTGGATGCAGTTGTTCTCACTAAACCTAAACATTCACCATCTTCACTCATACGGCCATCCCACTGGCACCAGCTGAAGGCCTGCCAAGGTTGAAGCTGACTGGAACAACAACCTTCCTTCAAGGCCATCCGCGCTGATTGAAGATTGTTGACTTTTGCATAACCGGGTGAAGGGACACTTTCTCTCGGTTGAACATGGAACACGCACACACACGCATGTACACTGACACAGACCTACACTCACCCCCCACCACCTCCAAACGCCTTTGAAGCTCATGTCTTTATGTTGTGAGATGTGATGATTTATGTGCTGAGGTGTTTTTTTCTGTTCTCAAACTGATCTTCCTGTTGGAGCTCAGTCTGGGGAGAGTTACTTTTTCTCCTCGTCTTTCCTCATGTTGTGCATTTTCCATTGTTATACCTCTCTGACCTGTCTTCCCCATGTGATGTTTGTCTAATGTATGTATGGTCGGAGGGTAAGATGGCGCTGGCAAAGGTCGGCAGCCTTAACCCAATTTCCTTCGGGGTCAACCTTCAGGATCAATAAAGTTTTATTGAATTGAATTGAATTGAATTCAAATTAATTTTAGCTTTGTTTATTTCACTAAGGTCTGGGCACTTCATAACTTCTGAGATGTCGTTTATCAAATAATTGAAGGAAGAGTGAAAGGAGGTTAAAAATTAATACAATACAACTTTGTTGACCTGTTAAACTGAAATACCCACTCTGACGCCACTGTGCAGTGACTAGTAACATGTAACATGTACAGTAACATGTAAACAAATTCAGGTATGAAAATACTGATAAATCACTGATTTGTGCATGAAATGTTTGTATCCATAAATCATGCACACATTTTTGTGTATGCACTGTTAGTAAGTGAGGGCCATTGTTCCAGATGCAGCTTTGCAAACCTAAACTCTCCTGTCGTGCTCATTTTTAGAGAAAAGAGGCTTTATCTTGGCAAACTATTCATACTGGTTCAGTATTTTTCTAGCTGTCATGAATTTTAACATTCAACATGCAGACTGAAGCCTTTAGTCTGAGATGTAGCTCTTGGGTCATCGTGGGGCTATGATGTGCACTCCTGGGAATATTGTAGGATTGTGTTTACACACGTCTGAATGCTCCAGGCCAGCAAACTGCAGAAACTTTATAGAGGTGCTCACACTTTTTGATGATTATGTGCATTTTCCAGGGAAAGAGAGAGGATGTTCTTACTTTTTCACAAATACACCCAGAGTCCTGTAAAAATGTCCTTTTTCATAGTGAACTGCATTCACTGTGAAACGGGCTGGGATAACATATCACAATTTTCACCCCCTTTTAACCAAAACTTGTTTTTACCCTTTTTTGACAAGCGTGTGGCCCCTGTTATCTGCAGATGTTGGCATCCCCTGCCCCTGTTTCATACTTGAAAACGTCCCCATTTCTATCCGGTCTTTTAGTCTGATGGCATTAGCTGTTTCTGGGTCCAAACTCCGCTTCAGGTCCCAAAGTCAAATGAACACTGCGGTATAACTGAGCATTACAAACTGTCTAAATTCTTTCATCTTAATAAAATGATCAGCGTTGCTGCTTTACCAGGTGTAACAATTCAGTTTAACATCCAGGCATCCATGAAAACAGAAGTTATGAAATTGAACTGAGTTTGAAGTTAGCAGGAGGTTAGCTCGCTAGTTTCCACCTAAACATGATAGAGTATGTTCTGACTGAGAGATTTAAAAAAAATGAAAACGTACAGCTCAGTTGTTCTCTTGACTGAAGTTTGGTCCATTTACAGCATCCTGTGATTGCATTTGTCTCTAAACATCGGGAACCCTCACGTTAACTTTTATCGAGTGGAAAAAAGGTTAGCATTCATCCTCCAGCTTCACTGTGCTAATGTGTTTATATCTGGTCTTTAAGTCTGGCGTCATTAGCCTTAGCCTACAGAAGAGTCTTTCTTCTCTTCCCTTTGACAATTTAAATCATCTCCTCCTTTCCCACAGATGAGAGCCAGGCAGCCGCCATGTCCAGTGTGAAGTCTGTCTTCAGCAGGAAGGCAGTGGTACGCATGCAGCTACTGAAGGAGGTAGTGGGAAGTGATTCCTACCGTGTCAACAACAAGTATGACCACAACCACACACCCCTCCCTGTCTGTGAAATCATCCAGCGGGCACAAGTCCTCATTGGCCAGGAGGTCTCTTATGACTTGCTGGGGAGCAACTGCGAGCACTTCGTTACCCTTCTTCGTTACGGGGAGGGGGTGTCTGAGCAGGTCTCTCACTGTTTGTTCTGCTTCTGTCTGGTGTGTCACTAAAAGCGACTAATAAATCCAAAACATTGGCCCTGTCATAGTCTCACATTGTCAAACATTTAAAAACATTGACCAAAGTGGCAAATCAGAGTGAACCTTAACATCAGGGATTTATCCATCCTAGGGCTCTACTATACCACTAAAATGAAAACATGATACTTTGTCCCAAAATATAATTCATAATTCTATTTTTCACCCACATATAATCTTATAATTGCTTTAATTATGACCATGTTCTGTATTGAAAACAACGACATCCAAATCTACTTTAAAGCTATGCTTAAGAGCCAAATACATCCTGCCAAAACCTTAATCTTTACACAACAAATCAGCTTTGAATTAAATAATCAGCTCAAAAGAGTTTACGGGAAAAAAAGGTTTACTGTAAATAAATGTGTTGTTGCCTGCTTCCTCTTATAAGTTAGACAAATCTGAGTTACAGACTAATGAGTTAGTCTTGTTAAGTTTGGAATCATGCTGTATTGTAAATATGCAATAAAATCAATCAGCCTCTGCTGCTCCTATTCTAACCCGCAGTCCACGCCCTGCCCCTCCTTCTTGTCTCCACAGGCTTCACGAGCCATTGGGGCCATCAGTTTGGTGACGGCAGCAGCCAGTGCCTTCTCTGTCCTGGGACTGATCAACACACGGTCCAGAAACAGGCCTTTCTGACAGCTGTAGTCTTCACTAAAGTGTTTTCCCTAAATTCATTTGGCTGTGATAAAAAATAACAAAATAAACACTGATAAAGATTTAAAAAATGATGTTATGTTTATTAACAAACCCCATATACTATTACAATATGGCTGCAGTTGTTTGTTGATCCAGTCTTTGTTGTAGGCAGGAGTTGTGAATTATTTGACCAAATTATTTTTTTTAACCCATGGAGCATTAATCATAGTTTGATGGGGTTAGGTTAATTGGTGAATCTAAATTGCCTGTAGGTGTGAATAGTTATCTGTCTCTTTGCGACAGATGGGTGACCTGTCCAGGGTGTACCCCGCTCCTTGCCCTATAGCAGCTGGGATTAGCTCCTAAAGAGATGGATGGACAGAAATGTATCATCACCTTTGTAACTGAAAAACTATAAGCACGCCGGACACCAGTATAGGCCAGAGTAAATACTGTGGATCCCTGTTTTCTGTAATTTCAGCAAACCAAGCATGGTGTGTTATTTTCACTTAATTAATTTTTGATCTGTAAAGAGTGATGCCATTAGATGAAAGCAAATAATGGGTAATGGAGAGTTGTTGAATGAATTAATTACAGTCTTATTTTACGTTGCTCAGACTGCCATGGTAAATGGCCTGTATTTGTATAGCACTTTACTTAGTCCCTAAGGACCCCAAAGCGCTTTACACTACATCCAGTCATCCACCCACAGGTGATGGCAGCTACATTGTAGCCACAGCTGCCCTGGGGCGCACTGACAGAGGTGAGGCTGCCGGACACTGGCGCCCTCTGACCACCACCAGTGGGCAACAGATGAAGTGTCTTTCCCAAGGACACACCGACCGAGACTGTCGGAGTCGGGGCTCGAATCGGCAACCTTCTGATTACAAGACGAACTGCCAACTCTTGAGCCACGATCGCCTGTATGCATGACAAGAACAGTCCTTCTCCCTCGATAGCAATTCATAAACATGAGCTATTTTTGTGTGTCTAGTACTAATCTTGTCCATATAACTGGATATATTTATAGCAGCAACGGCATTAATAATAATAATAATAATAATAATAATAATAATAATAATAATAATAATAATAATAATAATAATAAATTTTATTTAAGATATCGTAGTAATGTGTTGTTAACAGCAGGTGGCGAAACACGCGCGAAACTAACAAACAAATCCGAAGAAGAAGAAGAAGTGTGACGTCGTAATCCTGCGCCGGCACGTGTACACGTGCTGTTTTCATAAGCAGAGGGGTGTTTTGAGTGTGTGACATATCTGTGTGTTAAGGTCCGGCGTAAAAGTAAAGCAGCAAATATGGGGAAGAAACTTAAGGTCGGAAAGACCCGGAAAGATAAATTCTACCACCTGGCCAAAGAAACAGGTAGAGTACCGGAAAACAACACGAGCTCGAGACTGTCGTGATATTAGCATTAGCAGGCTAAAGCTCCGATCGATATAAAGTGTGGGTTGTAGACTGCTGGCAATCTTTTAAATCTCCTTTTTTGTGTAATTTTTAGGTTATCGCTCTCGTTCCTCCTTCAAATTGATCCAGCTTAACCGTAAGTTCCAGTTTCTGCAGAAAGCCCGAGCTCTGGTGGATCTGTGCGCTGCACCTGGAGGGTGGTAAGCATCCCGTCACCAGACATGCCGTCGTGTGTGGTAACAAAAGGAAAAGAAGTAACCCCTCTGGGGGGAAGCTGGCCAGTTGACCACTTTGCAGTCTTTGGTCATTCGCTTCTGTCACATTTGAACGATCACCAAAGGTCTTTGTTATAACAAGTGGCAGCTGAGTCAGGGACAGAGAGAAGAGAAAAGAGCGACCACGTTGACAGAAGTGTTAGAATAGAATAGCCTTTATTGTCATTGTACAGAGTACAACGAAATTGGAGTGCCACTCCCTTGGTGCAAGATAAATAATAAATATAAATGTAAAATATAAAAAGTACAATAAAATAATCGCAAGTACTCAAACAATAGTAAGTATGATATATACAGGATAGCAGCATTAATATAATGACAGTATGGGGGAGAGGGGAGAAAGTAGGGGATGAAAGTCAGGGAAGAGGAGCTAACTGGTGATTGTACAGTTGCAGTTTGTGTAAAGTTGCATTAACTTAGGACCGTGTGCGACCAACCTCGACCTCCTCTCCGGTGAGCACGACTCTGGTTCACTATAATCACAGACTTTCTTTTGCTGTGATTACAAGATAAAATGCACGAGCCTTACAGAAATGACATTACGGTACAATACGTCATGACAGAAGCAAAAACGGATAAATGAGTGATTTGTACTATGCAAAATAATCAAAGTTGAATTCAAAATCTCCTTTTCCAGGTTGCAGGTAGCGTCTAAGTTTATGCCTGTTTCAAGTCTGATTATCGGTGAGTGCAAATTTCTCCAGTGATAAATGGCTCTGTTTCTGTTATGCTTCTAAAGCAGCTGTAACGCGTGTGACAATACTTCCCCATATGAGTGGTTTCTTCTTCTCAGGTGTTGACTTGGTCCCCATTAAACCCATCCCCAACGTGGTGACACTTCAAGAAGACATCACCACTGAGAAATGCAGACAGGTGAGAAAGCTGCTGCTGTTCACAACATCACTGAAAAAACATAAAATCAGAGATGATATTTCAACAGTAGAGATGTGGACAGCCAACGCTATGTTTGTGACATGGTTTTAACTGATGAGACACTCTTTCCGTTGTACAGTCTCTCAGAAAGGAGCTTCAGACTTGGAAAGTGGATGTTGTGTTAAACGATGGAGCCCCAAATGTGGGAGCTAACTGGCAGCATGATGCCTTTTCCCAAGGTGAGTCGAGACAAAACGTCTAGAGATCAGACTGCAGTAAAGCAGCATTCGCACAATATGTCCAAAATGATTTAATTTGGTTGAAAAGGATTGTAAGGGGTTCTTTTTTGATACATCCTTACCACTCTTTGATTTTGTGTCTCTGTTGTGCCTAAACTAGTTCATGTCCATTTTCCACAGTATTTGGTATTTAAATCTAATTTTGAAATCCTCCCTTTTTCACCCACAGCTCACCTGACTCTCATGGCTCTGAAGCTGGCCTGTGAGTTTCTTACCAAAGGAGGCACCTTTGTCACCAAGGTGTTTCGCTCCAAAGACTACCAGCCTCTGCTTTGGATCTTCCAGCAGTTCTTCAAGAAGGTGCAGGCCACCAAACCGCAGGCATCCAGGAATGAGTCTGCTGAGATCTTTGTCATCTGTCAGGGTCGGTGTCATTAGCACAACCTTTATTATTTCATTCGCTTTGTGAAGACAATAAATAATGACCTTAATTTTGACCTTGTTCTTGACTAAACCTCACCTAAACCTCCCCCATTGTCATCATCAGGTTTTGTTGCCCCGGACAAAATCGACAGCAAGTTCTTTGACCCCAAGTATGCATTCAAAGAGGTGGAGGTGCAGGCCAAAACTGTGAAGGAGCTGATCCCTGTAAAGAAGCCAAAGGCATGTAAAATGACAAGTGTTTGGTCACGATAAGCATGTCAGATCTGGCTGTGATTGCCTGTTATGAAATTTTTGGCTTTTAAACACTTTGTTTTATTTATCAGTCACAAGGTTTAAGACTTACTTTAAGGCACATTTGAGCCCAGAAATGAACCATCAGTGATGAAGCAGCTCTTCTTCTGTTGCAGGCGGAGGGATATACAGATGGAGATCTGACGCTCTACCACAGTTTCACGGTGACCGATTTTCTGAAAGCCGAGAACCCAGTCGACTTTCTGGGAAAAGCCAGTGAGGTGAGCTTTGTTTGTGTGTGTGTGTGTGTGT